GCAATCGGGGATACGAAAACCCACATTATAGATTTTGAAAAAAAGGCAATGTTTAAAGACCCTTCTCGTCTCGAACTAAAAGCATTCAAATCAAATCATGATCATGGCGTCATTTCGAATGCTTCTTTGTTGAATGTACGGTTATTTTGTCATTATTAAATTAAAAGTCGTTTTTTCTTATTTCAGACATTCTGTATAGCAGTTTTCATGTTTCTGAAAAAGAAAATAATATTGAAAGTTTTAGAGTATAAATTAAGGTCAGACAATTACAATATCTTCTCTATAGTGAGCCTGATGGAGGTACATAAAAGTGGCAGAGTCGGAATAAGGCCGTCGCCTTCAAATTATCTTTCATTTACTGCTGTAGTTGAAATCCAGTCATGACTTTGGATTCTTTGTATGTGAGGAATCTATCAAGCTAATTTACGGAAGGTCGGTGGATCTAGTCAAGTGCCCACTCGTGTCTGAAATGTTTCACAAAGGGATTCTGGGGTCTTTCTTTACACTATAGCAGGAATGTTTTCACATGACCTCAGTGTCGTTGAAACTTAAAATCCAAGAAAGCCAAACGTAACAAACCCTTTTAAACACTTACAAAATACATTATGGTAGATGGAAATTCCAACTTAAAATAAAAATTAAGGTTGAAACATTGCTCACTTAAATACTGTTTAATCATTCGTAGGGTAGTGCCTCTTGTTAATTGTGTCTTTTGACAGCTTATCTTTGGTATGCAGGCTTCATAACCTGCAATCCCCTCTCAAAATTTCATTTTATTTAGTTTCACTCATTGTATTCTTTAGGGCACACGAAATTTTTAACCTAATATGCCGCTTTTCATAGAATGGCAATAACGTGTCACATTGAAGATTTCATGATAACCGCCATATGAACACATCCACAGATGTTAAAAAATCTAAAGTGTATCAGTTCATGTTTAATGTAAATTCTGCTGAAGCCGGTGCTAGGCGGCTTGGGCGGTAGCTTGCCGTTACCACTACCGTCCATGAACAGGTTTAATCAAAACTGATCCTGCAACATTTTCATGTTTTCCGTGTTGGACTTCTGTTAAGGAATCTTTTTTCTCTATTTTATTACTAATAGGCACTATTATAATGTGTAATAAAATCAAGCAATAATCTTTCTTCCCTCAATACAATTCGATAAAAGTTACTGTTGTTGTCGTGAAAACAGTCCTTACTTAGGTCATTACTTATTCCGCAAAAAGTCTCAATCTGAAACTTAAAGTAAAAAAAATAGCAAACTATAACTGTTCTGCTGAAGAAAAAAAGTAATACAACCTTTCAAGAATGTATTAAATAGAAAGGAATGAGTTATTTCATAAAAATAATGGATACACAAACTTTGTTTGAAATTTGGCAAGTATCTAAACTGTAACCGAAATCTGGGTATAAACTGTAACAAAATTGTATCAAAGTCGCTAGGTCTATGCTGTAACCCTTCAAAATTAACCTCGCTCTATACTGTAACATTGTTTATTTTTTTCAAACGCATTTTACCAAAAGGAAAATAGGTTCAACTGGTCATTTACTTTTCTAAACGTTTCTAAACACAAAGGACTAACGTTTTGTAGATTTACTTTATCTAGGCATACTTAAATAATGTCGGAATGGGGAAAAAATGCGTTGGTCTCCCGATTCAAATTTTTAAACCTTCAAATCTGCACATTTATGAGACAATATAGAGATAAATCTGCGGTGCAGGGTCTGAAGAAATATATTACTAGATACCGGATTCTGTTCCTTACAAGCAAAGCACAAAAAACGTCTTTTAGAAACTAAACTACTAGTAGTATGGACCTGAATAAAAATCACCTACATCTCTTCCCATAAATAATCCTCAATCTTGAAAATTCTATACTGTAACCGAAAAAGGCGATACTGTAACACGTTCCCTACGGTGATAATACTTACATTTATTTAAATATGAGCAAGGTGCTGGCGCCATCGGTGATGCTGAAGAGCTCTTACAAATGTGATGGAGTCAACACATTTGATTAGTGTCAATTCCGTTGATAATTGGCAGTTCAATTAATAGGCACAATTGCAAAAGTTGATAAAGACTTACTTTCATTTAGTGTTTGTCCAATAGAATTGTAGTATTTCAAATGAATCATAACACATTTACTTTGGTAAATTGGCTGAATTAAATAAGTCTAGTAAATCGACAGTTTTTCATAAAAGTAATTTCAAATACTAAATTGGTGAGTGTTTATCTTGACCTGTGAAAGCCGGAGACGTTTTTCCTATTTATAGCTATGGCGTTCATTGTGTGCTGCAAACCAAATATGCTGGCGATATGTACAACTAAAGATGTTACTGTTCACTCAGATTCCATTGGAATCCTATTAGCAGTTTAACCTGAGAAATCCGGATAAGATTTTTTTCTATTGATAGCTCTCACGGACGTTTTGTGCGGCGAAGCTGAACGTGCCGGCGACAATTATGCGGACGGACGGACGACCAACCATACGGACAGAAAGACGGTGATGACAAAAACAGTATGTCTCCCAAAAATAATTAATTGGTTTAAAATACTATGAGGATAAAATTACGGAAACCTGTTAGTGACATAACTTATTGAATGTCCCTCGTATACAAGTTAAGTATGTTACTTTAAGATTTCAGCTGAAGGAAGCAAGTGTTAAAATTTAAGGAAGAGGAAAATCATATTTTAGGAGTCGCTGATAAGATTGCAATAAAAGTTGTCATGAATCTAAGTTATAGTGAATTACTTCAATACGATCTGTCTCAATACATCTATTCCAGATTAAATTTGACGAGATTCTCAATAACAGAACAAAGAACAAAAAAAAATAATGACGTCGACCTAAACATCTTACGTAGCGTTAAGTTGCGTAACATATTGACGCCATTTAAAACGTAAACAAATCCGAATTACTTAACAGTAAAGACTGATGCACATGATGTAAATATACTTGTAATTGATGTGTTGGCAATATTTGAATATGTTAATTCCTAATTGAATTCAATGAATTTATAATAATAACCCCACAAAAGAAGTTGAGAGGCAGGGGTTTATTGGAGTGAGGTTGTCGGTTCGATGGTTATGTGAAGACCACACGTTTTAATAGATAAAAGTTAGGAATACGATATTGTTAAAAAACTTGGTATATAGCCACCTTATGCAGCGACCTCGTCGAATTGGAATGCGTTTCGACTACTTAAGGTCAAGGTCACTGTTTCAAAAATAGAAAAATAGTTTCTGGTCAAAAACTAGAGTTAAGAATTAGATGTTGTTATCAATTTCGGTATACATCATTCTTTTGATGATCGGGGTAGGGATTGTTTTTGAGACCCCTAGAATCAAGGTCAAGAAAACTGCTACTTAAAAAATGTTTCTTGTAAAAAACCAGCATATGTTACATATATTGTAATTTAACTTCGTATTTCGAAAGTTGGAACTCGCATGGGGATGCTTTGCGTGTGTGCGTGCATGCGTGTGTATGTTTGGAGGGGGTCCTGACTAATGCTCTTCAACAGGGTCACGAAAAGTAATATGATAATTGTTAATGTTTCAACAAGGCAATTAATTGTAATAATTTAGAAGACAGACAAAACATGATAACATATATCGGTAGGTCGACCACAAATGTGGACAAATCATTTTCATCTACTTAAAATAGTTAAGGTGGTGAGTGAGGGGTTTGAATCAAATTCAGAAATAGTACTTATTGATATAACAATTTGCCTTAAGGTATGACCATCCTTACGGGCACTATAAGGAACTGAAAAATTAACAACATTGGTCAGATATATATACCTTAAAGGACACCTGTACGCAAAATTTAAACAAACTTTACTTTACGGAAGTCGAGTTATTGCCTCTTTTCTGAATTTAATCTTAAATGTTTCAGGGCCCTTTATTCAGAATTAAGGAGTTTTTTATATTGTACAATATCATCCTTATGAAAAATGTTTTCCCATTAATCTTTGGTTAGAAACAAAATGTTACATTGAACTAACAATCCACATAAGCAGAATGGTTGTTTCTACTCAAAATATATGAATTATGTATAATATATCATCCTACCCACTCATTTTAACACGTTTTTGACCAATTTCTTACTTACAGAGCCTAGTTTTAAAAAATCCCTAAAATTTACTGAAATGAGTGTCTGTTTTCAAAGTTTCTCTTAATTTTTTCAAAAGTATATTGGTTGATCTTGTAAAATTTTAAAATCTTTTAGTGTCCAGTTTTCATTTCATTGCACTTTGAAAATATCAGGTACCATATTTGTTATTAGGTTTGGCATATTTAGCCAATAAAACATATATTAATTTAATAATTAAAATTAAACACTTTTTTCTTCCGTGAAGGGATATGGGACATACATAAATAATGTTAAAAGGAAAAAAAAGAAAGAAAAATAGCTGAACCGCCTTTGGTTTGGACCCACGGCTCTAAATTTGTATGCATTTTACTGCAGTTCTAGCCTTTTTGAATACTCTTCAACGCTGAGGTTTGTTTGTTTGTTTCATTTTACGCCTTTTCCAAACAGTATTTCGATCATATAGGCGGGTAGTTTCCTAACCATCGTTCCTGGAGAGTTACACCAGTACTAGACTACCTTCCTCCGTTCAACGCGGAGGTAATGCATAAGGATGGTCATACCTTAATGCAATATGCATATGACGCTGTGACGGGAAAATGAAGTTGGGAAGTAATCTTTACTATTTTGGACATAGATATGCATCTTTTCACTACACCCGACCTGTAGTTGAAGATCTTTTTCTTGACATTCCTCAGCGTTTGGGTTTTGTATCATTATGATCATATTCTGAGGGTATTTTGTTAAATATGCTATGAAACATTTATTAAGTAATCTTTTTCATACGTTGGGCGTATAAATCTATTGAATCTTGTTTCTGAAGGTCTAGTGTAAAATTTTACAATTTATTCAATTTTTAGTCAAAACCTATGTCGAATATTCCAGTTTTACTAAATCATTTTTGTAGGTGGATGAACTAACGAGACAACTCTGGGCGTCAGAATCTAAGGTATATTCTTAAACAGCTTGGATTAAAATTATAATTCTTATAACTGATATATCTTTTCTGCATCATTTGTGCAAATGCTACAAAAGGTTTGGCTTTAGACTTGTCATGATTATTATCTAATAAGATGATAATTCGTTGAAACAAACAAGTAGTGATTTAAATGAGAGAATGAACTTAACAAGTCCTTGGTAACTCATGCACCATATATGACAATGTTATACACTTTTGTTTGACCACATAGAATATCAAATTATCTCTTTTTGTAAATTGTACGAAACTATTCAGGAATTTTTGATGAATTTTAAACATTCGCAACTCGATTTGTAAGTTCCAAATCCACAAGACGCATTAAAATTTTATTCAAGTATTTTATACAGGGGTTTATTTAAGCGAACCCCGCTTGCCCGCATCGGGTAGAACTCGCCGCTAGGAAGTAACATTTGTGAGCAAATTGCCCGGCGGGCAAGTGAATTTTTGTAATGCCTTCTATTCGCTTCACTATCAAAACCTATGTCGATGATTTAAGTTTGACTAAATCATGTTTTGTAGATTAATGACTTAGTGAGACAACTACGGGCGTCGGAACATGAGGTATATTCTTAAACAGCTTAGATTAAAAATATAATACTTATAACTGATATATCCTTTTTTAGGCGACAACAGACACTTTCCGTGGTACTACGATAAATGTCATTTAAACCAACAACATTAAATATTGTCCATAATGGCTTTTCATGTTAAAATCAAATATTAAATATATATATTATATTTATATCAAGTAAAACAAAATTGTATTGATAAAATAAAGATTACATAATGTTTTGTTTGATTTTTGCTGCACTTAGATCAAATATTGCCTTGATATTATATTTTACATGCGTTTTACATATTTTATTTTAATTTTTATTTTTTAATATTTCGTTCTTTTACTTTACTATATATATTTATATATATATCACTTTATTAATGTTTATCTATTCTTAAAGGATCGTCAAGTAGGTGGCTGGCAAGGTGTTGGAAGAAGTTTCGACAACTGGTTGCGGACAAGAAATAATTAACAAAATAGTAACACAAACAACTAGTAGGGAACCATTTTCCTTGTTCTTGATATATGGGCAATGCACAGATAATCCATTGAAATAGTAAGAAAATGGACCTTATTCTTATTAATTATAAAGAGTTAAAACGACTACAAACTTTAATACCATTGCCCATCGCATTTATGTTTAATCCTTAACAATTGTATAACCTCATTAATTGTTTGCTTTTAGTAATCACAACAGAAGGAAATATAACAAAATATCGTAAATGTGCAGTTTTGAAAGGGACTCCTCTGATTTTTTTTACATGATGACCTTTGAAAATTCAAATAGTTTTACGAGTTAAATGTACTTTATGCGTGCCTAGGTACACAAACGAACTCACGTACGATTGTTTGGAAAAACTATAAAATTAAAATTTGAAAACGAGAAAACAAACAAACATAAAACAACAATAATAAAAAAATACACTTACCGTGCATGGCATAAAAATGTCTATTAAATGAGATATCGCATGCATTAGAAAGTCATAAGGAAATAACCAAATTAATTAACTAAGATAAAAAAAATAACGGTCTATTGGGGGGGAAAATACCTTCACCACCCACCCCATTACCGGCACAGTGTTATATATGGAGGCTATACGTTGCCAAAAATCCAGCCTTTGAAACTTAACAATGCATACTTCGGTTCTACTAAACAGATTAGTAAAAATCTAATTGTCGATCCGAGAATTACATACTGCACTGGTATTAAGCATTTTGATTATCTTGATTTGATAAAATGGAAGCTGTAAACATGCAACTTAGATAAATTGCAAACTGTATCTATAAATGTATAACTTCAAATTTGCGAAATGTAAAGGATAGAACTTACACAATACGTTTAATGCTGTGCATCATGACGTTGAGAATGTAACTGCATCAACTTGACACACTCAGGTTTACAACACTACACTTTCCTGTTACATTCTAACGCGATTAACATTTATAAACGATTTTGCAACTTCCATATATGGAATTATCACGGAAATAGACGAAAATTAATAGGCGGAGCCAATTCTCACGAAAGCAGAATATAAAGAGAGGTAACTCTTGCTGGTACAAAAATATTTTAAATAATATAGAAACTATTATAAATTTCACATACATCATCACTTTGAACATACTCTGATTTTGTTAAAACGTCTTCTAGTACAAAATATTCAAGTAATGCAAAATTGGTTAAGATATGATGTAACAATGTTTATACTGATAATGAGCATAATAATATGCAAAAACTCAAGTTGGTGAATTAACATAAGGGAATGCTTTCCATATATAATGACACACACCACTACATATTGATAAGAACGATAGGGTTTGTGTGCCTTCAATCGTTACACTTTCAGCAAATAGTACTAGAATGCGATACACGGAAGTCACTTTTGACAACACGAATAAAGAGAACTGAACAGTAAGCCTGTGCCTTCTTTCTTTAAAGGACTATGTTGGGTTGTAGAAAAACCCATATTTTTGACCAAGTGTATATTAAACCACGAAACAATTCAAAGTTTACTATCGATAATTCCGTTGTATAACCAAAATCTTGTGAATTTGTCCCAAATCAATATTAAGTGTATCTTAGCATATCTGTGTTTACCTCCATTGGGAGGTATTTTGAGTCATAGGATGTGATTTGTAAGCTGGCGTAGGTTAAGGTCTTTCATGCATTGTACTGAATCAATAGCAACTCTAAAATCTGTGTATACATGCTGTCAATAGCTGTTACCTAGACTTGCTGTCTATCTGATCAAAAGCAGAGAACTATTTTTATGTACATGAAATACTACACAGAATATTTATTAAGTTTTGTAAGTGATGGCTTTCTTAGAGATAAAATAAACAAGGTATACATAAATTGATAATCAACATACATACCTTTGGACTCATTTAAATATTATTATTGAAAAAAAAATGGTAAAAATGGGAAAATATATCTATACAGTATGGTAAAAATAAAAAGTTATGTACGAAAGGGTACATACAACTTTGGTTTTAATTTTACTATTGTTAAAAGTTTTTTCTTGTCAAGTCATACGCTAGAATTAAGGTTACTAATGTAATAGTAAATGCTACTACTAGGAAAGACAGCAGCTAGAATTTGGTCTGTATTAGTAATTAGTCGTATCAAAATCTCTATCAGATGTTGACTTGAAAATTTGAAAGTGGTAACGTAGCAGCTTAACTGTAAATGTTACTCATTCCTATGCAAATTGGACCACCCTCAGTAAAATTGATTTGTCGTTGAATATAGTCTTGTCACAAATATATAAATAATTTTAGCTCCATGGTCTTATCAATTATTTTTACTCCTGAAAAATATTTAACCTCAGGCAGTAAGTAAGCCTGGTGAGATTTTTTATATTATTAGTTTAGTTTCTTTTTCTAGGAAATGTGGTATATACAACGTTTTAAAACTTATATGCCTATAATCCTTTAAAGTCCGCTGATGTTGATTGTATGAAGGCATAGAATGGCAATCATGCAAGTGAATTATGTTTGGTGAATAACTAAACACCTAAAAGGTGCGGTAAACGGAAACTGCGCCGCTTCTTGTCGCCGACGGTGAATACCGAAAATGAGTTTGTGTTTATTTGCGTTTATTTATACTCGCCACCGGTTGCCCATATGGGCGAGTCCCCCAGAAGAGTATTAGTCATTTTAGATTTTTGGAGGATAGTGCAGATACAGACAGATGCCCCAATTCCAGAAGCTTCTCCTGGTTCTTTAGCGTGCCAAGTGTTTAAGCACCCATACACGGGACCTCGATTTAAAGTCTCATCCGAAAGACTGATTAGTGATTTTAGTTGGCCAGCCCGGGAATCGAACCCACAATGTCGAGATTACAAGTCTCGCGCTCTAACCGATTGAGCTATGCGGGCTGGTTAATGAGCGGATAGATACGTTTATTTACGACGATGTAATGGGCGGGAAAATGGGCGGAGCTTATTTGATCTCCTTTTGAAAAACGTGTAAAGCTGGATAATGCTGATCCGAATCATGATGATTCGACAATGTAAAGCTAAGAATGTAACTTCTGTTTTGTCGGCGTATACACGAACAATGAGTATTCGAACACTTGGTATTGCTACTATCAGCAAAACAGTTAATGTTTTGTCGTTTAACAAAATGTGTTTTCTTGAAATTCATGTTTACAATGTTAAATCGGCAAACTCAATCCAATAATGTAACATTGGAGTTTACATACAAAGAAATACAATTGTATTTTGTCCGTTAACAAACTGTTCAACTCAGATCAACAAAACCGGATTTTTGGCAGCGAATAGCCTCCATAGTTATACGGCGCAAGGGTTAATATGTGTTTTTTCCCAAGATTTTAGTGATAATCACTGACTTTTACATATCATTTCAAACACACGCGAATTTTCAACGCTTCGATTCTACAGACACGGAGAAATTTCGCATTTACCAAGGATTTAACCAGATGTATTACAAATGTATTACAAATCTGATGCTCTCCTTATACTTCGTGTGAAACATGACTTTTTTTTAAAGACAAGATGTTTCATTTTTGTATGATGTTGAAACAATGCTATATACGTAATTTACATTATCTACAAAATTTAACCGTGAAAAAAAGGCCAAATTATCATTTAAAATTTTACGACTTACTTTCTGATAATTATATTATAGATAATATATATTGGTACTATAGAAAATGACAAATAAAAACAACCTTTGAGTGAACTTATTATGAATAAAAAACAAAACAAAAACAAACACACATTGTTAGTTATTTTATAGCTACATGTATATTGTACTTTCGTTTCGTCGTATTAACCTGGAAGAAAAACGTACGGTATTGCTAGAAACATTCCAAAATACATTTACGGCATTGTAGGTGCAATTTCTTCCAGATGGAAAATGCCTCCGGTACTTCTAAAAACGAGTCCTTGCGAACCATTTGCTGTAAATCAAGACCAATAGCTTTTGTGCAAAATTTCAAATTGCTGCGTCGTCACTGTTGTCCTCTTTGTTGTTGTCGTTGTGCAAAAATGTTGATGTAATCATAATTCAACACGAAACCTGGATTATTTACTTATAACTACACGAAACAGTTGTAATTAAGACAAGGAACAGCATTATCTGAAAGCTTTACATTTTCGGGGTATTGCCCCTTTTTACATAGAACTTTTGTCTATGAAAAATTTAAGTTCTCCATTTTCAATTTAAAATTGTTTTATTTAATAAATAAATAAATAAATAAATAAATAAATAAATGAATAAATAAATAAATAAATAAATAAACAAATAAATAAATTAATAAATAAATGTGTTCATCAGGTTTACTTGTTTACAGTTGATCTAGTAAGTAGAAAGGTTTTATGACTATGTGCTCGATATCAAAATGAAACTTGGATACACTTTCATTTTGTTCAATGGAAAAGTGTATTGAATATTTTTGCATAACTTGTCGTTTTAGTAAGAAATTCAATTTTTAATTCTTAAGGTTTTTAAATATCAGTGGAGCTACTTTAACTATATATATATATATATATATATATATATATATATATATAATATATATATATATATATATATATATATATATATATATATATATATATATATATATATATATATATATATATATTACCCTTCCAGATTTTTTTCCGCCTTTTTGATTGGATATTGATCACCCGAAAGAAATTGATATAACCGAGCCAGACGGGTAATATACGCACTAAATTTCCCCGTTGGGTACCCAACGTTGTAAACAACATGCGCTAAGGTGATGCGCGTACGGTTCGATTTTACGCGGTGTAAATTCCGATTTAAAAGCACTTTTTAACTGTCAAATGATAAATATTTACCAAAGTAGAGTAATGATACATATTACCATCAGTATCGAAAAGAAATATGACCTTGTGGAAGCTTGATATTAATTACAAAAAAGTGCGTTCAATAGACTACTCCTTTTCTCTTGTTTACATTCGTTAGGTACGGGGAAAATACGTCATGTATTTATGTGACGTCATGTTGTGACGAAGAGGTATCCTAAAGGGAATCTTATTTCGACGTTTCATTTGAAACAGCAATGTTTTTTTTTGAAAAATCGTCTAAACTCGGCAGGGGAAGGGCAATAAAATTATCATTTTGGTTTTGGAGTGATATTTGTGCTCGCCTAACGGCTCGGGTGATATAAAATCTTAACAGGTAATATATCCACATATATCACTCCAAAACCAAAATAACATATAATATTAATATCAGTGTAACATTTTGAGGATGAAATGAATATTCTTATTATTTGTGTGTTGTATGACAATTAATTTTTATTAGGACCAATTTCTCTCGGACTATAATAAAAGGCAGCATGTTGGTAACAGACTGTTTTATCACAGGGATTGTCATTGCTTAAGTGACACCATGCTCATGTTTTATCATTGTCATGTTGAGCTAAATTATATAAATATTTAAAAAGATTGGCAATTTTAGTGAAGATTTACCAATAATAATACAATTAAGAATAAAAAATAAAACTACATTAAATTTAAAAAGATTCCCAAACTCTGTATGAACTGAACGTTAACGATACTTTCTAAAGCATATTTACAGAATTATCGTCGTGTCATGTAGGTTACTGAACATTCATTGAAACCATAAAATGGAATTAGGAGACAAACATATTTATTTTTACTTTTACCTGAGTGTACTCTCAATATTTACACTATGGATGGGCATAATGCAACTTCAATTTTGTTTTCCTTCATTCATCATGTAAATTAATAATATAATAAATGAAATTGATTTTGAATCCTGTAATTTTTTTTTTGTTGTTGTTATTGTTTCGGATGGATTGTTTTGTTGTTGTTGTGTTTTTTTTTGTTGTTTTTTGTGTTTTTTTTTTGCTGTTGCTTTTCTTGTTTTTGAAAAAAAATCCATGCTCTAAAAAAATGTGTAATTCTGAGCTATTGTTTATATATGTATATACTTGTTTTCGTGTATCAGCATCATTTTTAACGTTAACTTGATAATAAATTAACAGGATTGATATACCAATAAAGTAAATGTGTACTTTCTTTTCATTCCTATCTATCTATTTGTTTATTTTTACGTTGTTCTGTTTTATTTTAAACAATATGAATGATGTTTTTCTTTGATGGTTTGGGGTTGTTTTTTTTATTTTTACTGATGTTAAATTACTAAATTATTAATGCTATAATGTTTGTAACATTTTCAGATTTTCATTGTCTTCTGTTAGCTTAAGGTGGAAAAACTTTAATTTAATGTTGATTATATATAAATAATTTTGGTTTTGTAAGTCTGTTTGCGAGTGTAGGTGGCTGTATGATCGTTCGCATGATGTTTTAAATCTATGACGTTATTATTGTCATTTTGAAACAAATAATTTTAAATGAAGATCACAGTACAATACCGAGTGATTGCTTGAGAGAATCATTTAAACAACGCATCTATAACGTAACCATATCTTTAGATATTGAACACAGTCATATTGTACTCATGGACAAAATACTGGAACATGTGTGCTACACGAATGAGCAAAGAAAGTTCAAATTTATAAATGTACCTATCATTGGAATAGCCTAGCAAAAAGTGTTGTGGTTTAGATCATAAGAAGACAATTTTTAAAAACTATTCAGGCAAAAATACACGAAAAAAGGTTTAATTTATTATAGTTTAAGCTTTGTATGAATTAATTAGCTAATGTCATAGCATTGGGTTTTTAATTTTTATTACTACATGTGACTTTTGTTATTGTTCTTCAGTAGTGACGCCAAAGCTTGATGTATATCTTCTCATGGCAATGCATTTTGATTTTTTCATTCAATCCAAGTTATCACGTACATTTTTAAGTAGCCATTATGCGGTATTCTTAGGCAGAATTAGTAATTTTTGACACATGCAAGTGACTTTACTCATGTCTTAAAAATTATACTAAAATTTTAAATTATAAATTGTTAGCTTTAACACAAGGAACGCCCTCGGGTGACTTCTGTGAGTCTGTTCGCGAAAGTTGTCGGAGGAGGTCACGAAAAACGAAAAAAAATAAATTTGGCATTTCACATATCTATTGGAATATTTTGCTTAGAGAAGTGATACGCTTGCGCACGTGCATTCCCGCACGTGCGTGCATTTGTGTTTATACGTTCTATGTATGGATATTCAAATTTGCCCTTTTCAATTATTATTGTATTGAGTATATATTTGTATATATTTACTATGTATCTGACAAAATGATGAAAATTAAGTTTTCTTTTTGTAACCTGCTGTATAATACGCTTCGAATAAAGACTTATATCTAGCTTGATGGTGAATTTTGTGATATTTCTGTCAGGATTGACCTGATTATACGCTAAGAATTCATCTATTACCAATACTGGTTGCAAGAATTATATTTTTCATTTTGTGTTAAAATAACGCCGGCCATCAAAGTTATGCAAAATCGACACAATGTGCACACACATTACAAAATGTAGCACCCTCAAACCCAAGGGAATCTCTGAAACATTATATTTTTATTTTTGAATTTTGGCCAATGGGTAAATTTTTAGTTTTAACCATTTAAACTGTGTTTTTTAAAATTTTTTTATGGCTATTTTTTTTGTAAAACTTTTAAAAAGGTAAAAATAATTTGTTTTCATAATATCATTTTGTGAAATATTTCAAACATAGAATATCATTATATATACATGACTTATGTACGTAAACAGAATAACATGTTCGGAAGCGAATAGAAGAAACTAAAAATACCACAAATATGTACACACAGCAATAGTGCATGCTGAACAATTACCAAGAATCAAAGTTATAACATATTTGATTAGATATACGAATCGACATTTTACAGCCTCCAAACGACACAAATAACACTTATGTGACAATAAATCAAATCAAGACAGAGTCTCTGAAGCACGCCCAAAACGACAAAATTGAAAATGTTTCAGGCTCTGTTTCATTGCGCCTTTTCCTGAATAAATCGAGCCTGCAACATTTTCAATTTTGTCGTTTTGAGCGTTCTTAAATGATTCCGTTTTTCGCTTTTTTTATTGATTTTCCGTATACTTTAATTTCCTTGTCGGTTTCTATGATTTCATATTCTGAATTATCTAAATTAACACCACCTCAGTGCTTTTTCCTTGTGCCCTGTCCTGACGTTCAATAATCGTCTCACCAGACACTTCCAGCAACACAGGACAAGCGGTAATGTACTCAGCAGGACACCAAACAAATAAAGGACAGGACACAGAGTCTACCACTTGGTCCGTTGGATGTAATCAAAAACAGGAAAGCGTAGTGTTCAATTGTAAAAGGGTCGACCAGTAAGCATGCAACTTGTCTTTAAAAGTAGGGTCATAACCAATTTTTATAGTTATTTTGAAAAGGCAGTAGAAACATTACATTCATCCAAACTTGTAAATCACATTTACACAGAAAAGAAAAAACGTAATCCTTAAAGAACGCCCAAAAACGACAAAATTGAAAAATATTGCTGGCACTCTTTCTCCGGGTTTTGTTTGAGTCTGTGCAAGGACGGTGCTGGAGAGTGCAAGTTACCGCCTACGCTCCCAGCACCGGTTGAAGCAGAATTCAACAGTGAAAATAGTGAAATTTTGAATTTTAAAAACATTTTTATACTGCCGCTATAGATCCGTAACACTAACTGAAACTTTATTATCAATATACTAGACAAGACATATTTTGACGAGATAGGATAATACATATCCAATGCAATACAACATGTCCAGGTTAATTTGCATAACGTGGTAGTAAATTTTCACTGATTGATGTCTTACAAATCTTTTTTAAGAACGTTTAGCTCAGCGTTAGAAAACTGTACATACAGCACCAAAAATCTGGAACAGACAAATGGAATACAAATACGTTACGTTTACATAGAGTTTGTTTATTTTCTCTGGTATTAAAATGTCATTGGGATATCCAATCCGTTGCTTGACTGCATCAGGCTGAAAACCATGACCAAATATATGTTAGAATAGATGTTCTTCTGATTTGGATGCAAAATTTACAATAAACATATTGTCTTATTTTCAAAGTAACTGATAAACAGGTCTAGAGATATCAGAAAGTTTATTGAAAATCAAACTATATGAAAATAAACAATATATATGAAGAATAACTGTGATA